GTCAATTAGAATAACGGAGCACGAAACCCTATCTAGGGAAGAGTTGGTGGATCTTAGCAAGGTAAGCAATTTCGAAAACACCTCGATTTTAGTTATACACGCAATTACACTTAACCACACAATGGAATGAGACAGGTTGAAAATCTTTGGAACTAAGACAGCAGGATGGAGGGAGAGATTGTTGACTGAATCTTTGATTTCATTTCAACACCTAATACATTCAACAGGAATGACTCAACACCTGTTTCGTATATATGGGGAATCCTACTAGTCACATCATAGATGAGAGTAGAAAATTAGCACTATATACAGGTTGTCTCAAAGTTGTGTAGTTAGTTATTTTGATATGAGCATGGACAGTAAATTGTGTCCTAAACGTAATCCAGTAGTTATTACTGTTTCATTGTGTGAAGCATCTAATAAATGAAGTGAGATGTAAGCATTTTCTTCACTGAATTGTCCTGCTATTTTTAGAACGAAGAGATTTAATTCATGGTTACATTCAGTAAAACATGGTTAATATTCTTGAGTAGCCTTTTAAAATTAGTGCTCCGTTTAGTATATCGGTCTTAAGACTTGGTTGTATTGTAACAATCACTAGTTAGCCAGACTTTTCAATGACTAATGGAAATTCTAGTAATGACACAGGTGGATTAAATAGGCCTGGATTTTATTCGACAAGATAGACTGTTAGACGGTTATATTTTTTGAACGTCATTAAACGTCACTTAGAACTTTCCTAAACGTCTGATTCTGGGCTACATTTAGAAGATATAACATATAAAACAGCAAGTTAGGTGCAAATGTTTGCTTAGGAACTTACAACTGCTCAAGATAACGCATGCGTGTCATTTGACCTTCATGCGTCTATTAAGCGGTGACGTATGCCCTAATTTTAAGAAATAAAATCTGCCATTAACACCTTAAACTGTGTTAATTATGAATCGAACCTAATGACTAGAGTGGCTGAATTGTGTGCAAGATGTCTCCAACGAAAAGGGAACGAAACTTTCACAACAAGCACTCGGTAATGCCAGGTCCCATGCTCATGTAAAAGATCTTGTCTGTTTTTCAGCAACCATATACACGCTCACGCACTGGGCAACAAGTTACATATATTGTGTGAGGGATGATAATACTAACTTCCCCTAATCTAGATAGGTAGACTGTTTGTCGAATTTGAGACCCAGTGACTGAAACTCTAGTTCTTATACCATCTAAAATATTGATAAATTTTACTCAGATATTTGAATTTATTCTGTTGTCTTCAACAGATTTGTAGGTTGTAAATATTCCTTTAGTTACTAACTGAAGTCTTCATTCTAGGTAGCTTAAAATTAAGCCTAAATCTTATTTGATGGGTAATGTACTTTTTCGATTCATATTGCAACTACGGTGAATGGGCAATAAAAGTGAAATAATAATCGATAGTTTTTACTGTTACTTTGTTTGGAATTAGAAATCCATAGACTTGAAGAAACTCAGGAGTCAACCAGTAAGTTCTCATTTACTTACGGTTTCAGATAGTGCACATAAATCCATACATTAGTGGTGTTGCTATACAGGATAAATCATGTCACGATCACACGATCTAATTTTTAGTGTTGGTTGGATGAAAGCGACCGTAGGGAAGCTCTGAACTTGGGCTGCAGTTTCAGGTGGAAATTCAGTTCCATGGAGGTTTTAGATAAACTTTGCTGATGAGTGTCAAAATGCCGAAAACTAGATCAATGGCTTCTTACCACTGGCTTTCATCTAGCTAACATCTATCTCAGTTCATTGAGGCAGTGAGTCTGGTAATCACATTTCAAAATGATCCATAGAATTTGATCAGCACTTAGAAGTAGACAACATGCAGTTGATTGTTCTCCAATGACCCGGGTTAATGTACCTAGCTTTTAACATACGCTTAGCATGGTCTTTCAAGCGTTTAAATAACCAGTTGACTATCCAGTAGGTATGTATATCAATACTAAAGCGATTCTCAGTGTTGGAATCGCATTTATGAAAGAAAAAGTCTTTAAAAAAATACAGTAGTTCAGCGAATAAAATTTTATTTCGACGAATATTTTTGAGCAGCTATACAATCGTATTTTTAATAATAACTAGTAAAGAGACTTGTTTATTTGTCATAAATATAGATACGAGTGTACAGCTAATAATATGATTCGTCTGTAAGAAAATTTTTTCCGCTGAATTACTTTATTTTTTTGATATTTCAGTAGGCTTTTTTTCATTGTTCTACTGCTTAATACAGCTACCTTCATACCCAGTACGTCATCGCTGTTCATTATAGACCGACCAGGTTGATGTTTAGCTTGATTTAGAGCAGATTCTATGAATATTTTACACCACTGTAGTAACTGAATGTCATAGTTATCTGTTTAATAAACATTCTATTCAAAACTGCACAATCGAAGCCACAGTTTTTGATGAAGGCGATGAATGAACAAAACATACTACTGAAATCACGTGAGTAGTCTTAGAGATAATCCCGCTGGATTATGGGGAATTAATAAAAGACATTTGTGCGAAGAAAATGTTATTTTTGACGAATCATTTCCGGAAGCTATGTATTGACGTTCATAATTATAATGGAAACAAATGTCTATCAATGACCTTGTGTTGACCCATTAACCGTTGATGGACATATATTTTCATTTTAACTAAAAATACGAAAGCACAGCTTCTGAAAATGAGTCATCAGAGAAGAAATTCTCTTCATTGAATTGTCTTTTCTTGAATCTGGGTGATTTCACCTTTCGAAGCTAGAGTTCTAAATATGCATAAATTCCAGGGATACTTCTGAAAGAAAACAATTATGATATCCAACTTTTTGACTTATTTTCGATGTTCTTTCCTGAAGGCAATACGAGATGGGATTGATTTTGTAACTTGTTCAAAAATTCTAGACTTAATGTTACTGAGTAGGACTTTAGTGTTGCACTAGTCTGCGTTAAATTCGAAAAAGGCTGCGAGACATATGCATCTCAATTTTATATATTACCTAATTTGTTTTCTATGGAAAATAATGTAAATTATCTCAATCTTACATGTTTCTCGAAGAAAGATGTTGAAAAAGCTAAATTATTCAGTTTATTTCACAAAATAAGTTAAACAGCTTATTGTTTCTTCTCTTCTCACCTACTTAACATAAAATTTACATGATACGGAACTTGAAAAGAATCATATGTGTGTTTGATGCCAAATCAAACCGGAAGTCTGCATTTATTTTTTGACTGTTGTAAAATTGTTAAAAAGAATTTTCTGTTTTGTCCTGTTTTCTCACAAATTTATTTGCGCCACAAATAAAGTTGTACATGATTGAAGATCTGAAGGAATGCTGAAAAATTCCCCATGATTTGACAAACAGTGCACTGATATGATAATGATATACGGATGATTTTGATGTATTCTCCCTATCGAATGTAATAGTTAACATTTATGCTTCCTTTACTCATTGTAAGATTTCAGTTCCATAATGAGAGATAAACAGGTACTTAAGAATTGTCACCGATTTAGGGGATACTGTTATCTTGTATGACATTAGACTAACATCAGCTTTCGTATCATCCACATTTTTTTTTAACCAAATAGGTAGTTTTTAAAAAACATGAAAAGAAATTATGAAATTAGGTAAATGTGAAATGAGAAACTTTTAACAAGACACATTCGCACCATAGGTAATAGTCAACCATGTCATTTCAGTAGTTTTGATATTGTGGTTTATTAATCTCCATCGCTGATTGGCCCAAATTGATCGGCAACTTTTGGCATATAGGTTCCTGTACGAATGCCTCGATATTACGGGTATTTCCAGTGACCTAGTGGTTAACGGCCTGACATTTGAAGCAATTAATCCTAAGTTTGAGTTCCAACTAGAACAGCATCACACACTGGGAGACAAGTGCATCCTGCTTACGAGTCCAAAATAAGACGAAAGGCGTGTCTTGGATTAGCGACTAACTAGGCAAGACTCAGACACGGTAGAATTTTAAAGATATTCTTACACAAAAATCACTTCATACGTTCATAAAGCTATGATGCACTGGTAATGATGACTCACATGGAAACGCTTGTCAAATAACGCTGTGGCTCACAGAACAACTTACAATTAACACTTACACAGATGTCTGCAGTAATATGTTGATTATTTATTAAGCTTGCGATCAGTCACTGAAAATCTTGCATAATAAAAAGGTAGCACTTATTTGGCGTATACTGTTTACATCTAATCTTCAAATTTCATCACTCGAACCAGTTGCATGAATTTCGTCTTTGGGGCAATCAGCTGATTGGGTCCTTGTGATGATGTTGCCAACGAAAGTTACCAATCAACCTAATTTGACAGTTATGACAAATAAGGAGATTGAGTTCGTGGGAATTTTACTGATTTCAAGTAGGCATTCATCGTCTACTGATATCATCTGTGGAGTAATTCAAAACCTGGGACGATGGACAGTCATTTCGCCCTAGTGTGAGACTCCTCACTAGTGCGCACCTAGGATATCATCATAGATCGAACCCAGAACTTTCAGTTTCCCTGACTAATATGTTATCAGTGACAATGCTATGCAAAGAAATAACTCATTATATTAGTTTTTTATACATATTGATTTCATCAACTCAAATTTTATTGACTTCTCTTGGGACCTTCATATATGTACTGACTTATGTATGTTAATGGCACTTGGAATTAACCCTCATTGATGAAAAATTTACAAAATTTCTACGTCTGGAAATGAAGAAAGATATTCTTACCCGTATATAAATAGTTTACCATTAATAACAAAATAGTCTTATCATGCATTGATCGGTAGGCTATACCATGTATACATTGATATTAGAAAAAAAGTGACGTAATCAAAATCATGGCAGCATGTGTTTTGGCTATATGTGTATGAGATAATCAATTAGACCTGTTTAATATGATATATAATCATGGGTAATCTGAGCAATCGAAATATTAAAATGTTCATTTGTGTACCTAAATGAATGATGTCGATACTGAAAGAAAAACGTAGTTAATCCTAACTCATTATTTTCTGATCACATTTAATCCAGAGAGGAAAAAATGAAACAGTTATGAATGATAACAGATTGTTAAACATGTTAACAATCCGTATATATATCAGCCTCATGATAACCATATTTACATCAATTTATGACAAAGTAATTACAAGTAAGTTTATGTTTGAAATGGATTTATCGTGGTTTAATCTATTTTTGCTAAAACTCATTAGGAGAAAGAAAAGGGGAAATACAGACATTTTGAGGTTGTACTTATTAGCCATTGAAACTTTATTGGTTTATTTATTGGAATAATACACAGTCTTGCTAGTAAAATACAGATTAATTTCAAGTTGTTATTCGTCGTAGACTGACAGTTGGGGGAACAAAGGAAACCTGGGAGCACTGGACAGCTGTTTCGTCCTAGTATGGGACTCCTCAGCAGCGCGCACCCACGACCCGGCCAAGCATCGAACCAGTGACCTCCAGGTTCTGTGGCCAGCACGCTGCCATTGAGCCACTTGCTCAAAATCCAATGGTCCATATTTCCAACTTCTATTGGCTCATGATGAATAACAACTTGAAATATTTCCAAATCCCCACAACTCCCTTAAAATACAGATGAATTTCTCAAAGATTACCATGACCTCTGTCAAAATGTGTACCTATGAAATTTAGGGTTAACGAACGTTATCTGATTCAGTTCACTAACATTTTTGAGATATTTTCCTTAGGATTTCGTTGTCATTCATATAAAATTCATTTGCAATGAATTACGAGGATTGATCTTTAGCTTTTTTTTTATGCCCGCCGGAAAGATGGGTTAAACAACCCTTTCTTTCTGTTTAAAAATTTCGAATTTCATAAAGCGCTGGAAAGACTAATCATTTATACACAAAGTAATCAGTCAAATTAGATAATACTTGAAAAACATCTTTTGTAGGTGTTCATGTAGATTTGTATTGGTCGATTGACAGCAAAAAAATTTTGAAAGACGATGTTATTCTTGAATACTTATCCCAACTATCCTTGCTAACATATTCGTTTTCTAGAAAGGCACCCTGACAACTTGACAGAGAGATGTTTATAAATTTGGGGAATATTTTGAACTTAGGGTGTTGGCATGTCAACTAAAACTTCTGCTCAAAAAACAACTCAGTATGAACACAGTATTTTATACGGACAACTTTCAACTCTATAAAGGTAAACACATGGGATGAAAGATTTGAAACTTTATTCATGGCTTCGATTCATATCACTTTTATCTAGTGAGTGTATTTGTATGTCTACGTGTAGGCTTACAGATGTGAAGATAGGGACTTTCATTCAAATGGAAGTACTGCGGACATTAGTTTCAATGTACTTAAACGAAGTGAAAGATGGAAATAAAAACAACATCTTGATAGATTACATCCAATGATTTGTCACGTGCGCTTCAAATATCATTGTAATCATATAAGATTATTTGATGAAACAAATTTGGTGAAAAATTTTCAGAAGCCCAGAGTTTAAGCTGGCCACCTTGCGGTACCAATGCGATTATTTTCGTGTAACTGAAAAACAGGGATCTAACCGGTGAGAAGTTATTGTCGATTACTTCGAATTTTCAGTTAGTGATGTTATTGATAAACACAAACCGTAAAATATCCAGGTTTATAGGACATTGACATTAAATCACCTTGATACTATATGCTTATTTAAAAGATAAATATGGTAAAAAAAATTCAGTCAAATATATCGAATGACTTGATATGCGACCACCTATGTAAAATCATTTGTTGATTAGAGTTTGTTAAGTTAGTTTCAGTGTAGACATAAATACTGTCAAATTTACTAGCATTGTTAGATGATAATATGAAAGGATTTGCAGTCGATTATGTTGGGGAATTAAAGGTTTCTAAAAGTGAATTTGAAAAGCAAGCGTGGTTGTTGGAACACTGATAATGTAACTATTGTTTTCACAACACATTAAATTACTAGACCGTTTGCCATTGGAATGAAATTAATATCAAAGATTGTTTGAAAATCATTTACCACTTGAAAGCTGGTCATAAGTTTAGACATTATGGCATGCAGAATTTGAGTGAAATTTGTATCAGCTTATGTCAAGTCATTGCTGCTATATGGTTCAGAAACTTGGCACATCATGAAAAGCACTTCCAACAAACTATACACATTCATCAACAGCTGCCTACGTTGGCTCGATACTGAAAATCAGATGGTCAGAAAGAATAAGCAAGAATGAACTCTGTCAGGGTGGCAACGAACCAACCAAGAACCTACCACCCAACAAATATGTAGTTGAAGAAAGTGGAGATGGATTGGGCATACACTGAGAAGTCCGATTGGGGACGCACCAGGCCAGGCCGTCGAGTGGAATCCAAAAGGGAAAACGGCGAGTTGGGCGTCTGAGCCGAGGGTGATATCGAGATCATGTGAGGAAGAAATGGAAGCTTGTAGGCAGTCGTGGTGCCAAATTGGAAAGACTGGAGAGAAGACAGTGCAATGGAGGCGTGCTACTGAAGCCCTATGTTCCACTAGGAACCTAAGGGAAAAATGATCAAGTAAATAATAATATGTAAAAGATAACAAGCTGCTGCATTTATGCTAGATAAAAATTACTGCTTACTAGATTTCCACAGGTTACCAAGTTTTATTTACGATGATGTAACTGACCTTCAATCCACCAAGTTTCTCAGTCAATTTTCACACCAGTTCCAACCCTTTCATAAATCCACTCGTCAAATGGTTGAGGTGAAATTAGGGTCTGGACGGCAGCTGGGTCTCTTAGCTTACTTGGTGGAACACCGGTTCGCTTATGTGGAGGCCTCTAGTTTGAATCCTGTAATTACACAGATTTTCATTTCCACCCTCACTTTCTATCAATGTTCAAAACCCACTATTTTATCAAGTTTTATTCTTCATATTAGCTTTACTGCACGTACGAATCTCATCTTGTATTAAATCATGGTATATGTGTAATCACGTTTGTAGAGTATTCAACCGAAGATTTCTACAGAAGTTTATCGATTCATTAAAGCCTGCCTTCTATACTTTTTCTGCTTGTTTGAAAATTTTCTAGACTTCTAAGTTTTTCCATATGTTAGAACACTATCCATGGAGATTGTTCCAGCTTTAAAACTTCTGGATTTTAGGAAATAATAACATTGCAAAAATACTAAATGTAGGCAATGGGGCTTCAATAAATTACTTTTGTTACCAAGCCATGGTAACCACAATATAATTGTTTTAACAATCTAAATCCATTTTAAATTGTTAAAAACGGCTAAAGTAGAAATTTGAATTAACCATAAATTAAAGGTGTAGTCGTGACATGATAAATACGATTTTATGACCATTACGCACTTTTTTCAACTCTCTTCTAAAGTTTTAACAGAAAAGTATTGTAATCAGATTCAAATTCAATGGTAATTATCCCGTAAATTAATTGAGTTACTCACCCTATATTATTTGTTTTATTGTTCTGAAATTGATATCATGTCAAAAAGCATTGAACACACGAATCTGTCTTACTAGAACCAGGGTTGAACTTGAATATAATTTCATACTAGTTTTGTTAATTCGACATAGCATATAATAATACAGTTTTATTTACTAGGAAAGGCTTGGTGATTTGAATATAGATGAGAAAAATTAAGGTTTTTGATGTGATAAACCGCTGTGCAAATATATATTTACCGTAAATAACTATGGGCCTTCAAAAACTATCCTGGGATTCATCTTGAACTCACGCACAGAACTAGGGTACAGGGTGAAGAATTCATGTTGGCATTGGAGTTATATCTGATCTCTTCTGTCCTCCGATTTCAAGAGAAAAAAATAAAAACAAACAAAATGATTAGTAACGGGATCATGGATATCCCTGACTGTTGTAGACATATTACTGGATAACTTGGAATGCTTAGCTTTAAGGGCAGTTAATCCTACCTATAAGGTATGATACAAATATATGAATGACACATTTACTGTGTTGAAGTCGGAACAAATCGCTAGTGTCTTCGCAAGAATAAAGTCAAAAGTTGGTGAAACCTAGTTCACTGGGATATCAGAAAATAAACAGGAATAAAATAGCTACGTTGAAGTGTAAGGTAAAACGAAGTGTAGATAGCGGCTTACACACTGCTGTTTACGGAGACCTAATGGACTAACTGATAACTAAACTTCGGGTCATCATATCCGGTGATAGTTAAAGCATGTTTAGTGAAATGTTTAAGTAATGTAGCTAGTCAGTCCAAGAAAACGTATGCCTAATATTTATTCATTCTGGGTGGTGGTTGAAGGTGGAATGAAAATTTGGACCGTGGCTGGATTCGAACCGGCAACCACCGAGTTTCCTGCCCAATGCTCTACCAATTGAGCAACGAGACCCGCTTGCTGACCAGGTTTTTATTTCATTTCAATCACTAATTCCCTACAGTTTGTTTAAGTGTACAAAACTTTTGACGCATGACGGATGAAAATGTTTTCTGAGTGCACTAGTTGGGTTTAATGCTTTTTCGTGGTGTTCGAATAATTTGAAGGTAAATTGCAGACAAAAAGAATGGGTGGTAACGTGCAGATAGTCCAGTCAGACGCTTGAGCGAATAAATGTATTACAGTGTGTTTTCCACACTTTTAGATGAAATATACAAGATGATGAATATTTCACTAAATCATCAGTCACTATGAGGTTTTCAATAGATATATTGTTAATTCTATGTGTTTACTGGTACCCACTATGTTTGGCAGGCTTAAATGGTCGTGTCTAACTTGCGCCGATATGAGTACAAACGTAATACTGAATGACTGTTAATTAGTCATTCAATTAGGAATACCCCTACGATTGTCCTAATTTATCTAACCTAATACTGTGGCACCTACCAGACAGAAAGAGAAATAGACACTTACAGTTGTTTGAAATTAGTTAAAAAAGCCACTTTTTTAGTTCACTGAGATTTCTGAAAATTGTGAAACTTGCAAAGTTGAAAAGATAACATTTAATTCAAAAGTAGATTGTTGTTCTTTTAGGTAAAAACCAGTTCTCAGTATACATTTAATCACCGTTGATACAACTAATACTTTCGAATTTTCCAAAATTTCCTTAATACTTTGTATTTCAACTTGGTGCTCCGGTGTAATCATTTGTATCGCCGATGATAGAGATGTAGCCAC